TTCTTGAAGGGCATGACAATCATCTAGGTTTCTTATCTTCCCTATTATCTTAGCATCATCAGCAAAACATGTTCATGTAATTCTGTATTCCCACTGGTAGATCGTTTATGTAGACAATGAACATTACCGGTGCAAGAACTGATCCCTGTGGTACTCCACTCGTGACATTCCTCCAATCCGATACCTTGGCTCTGATTACGGCCCTCATTTTTCTGTCAGTTAGGAAATTTTTCATCCATGTTAGTAGCTTACCTGTCACCCCTCCAATATGTTCCAGTTTCCAGAACAACCTCTTATGGGGAAATCTGTTGAAAGCCTTTTTTAGGTCCAGATAGATGCAGTCAACCCAACCATCTCCTTCCTGTAAAATCTCTGTGGCTCGATCATAAAAACTGAGTAAGTTCGTTACACAGGATCTTCCAGATCGAAAACCATACTGTCTGTCTGATATTATATCATTTCTCTCCAGGTGTTCTACCCATTTAGTTTTAATTATTTTTTCCAATATTTTGACTATTACACTTGTCAATGATATAGGTCTATAATTAAGGGGGTCTTCCCTGCTTCCACTTTTGTAGATTGGAACTATGTTAGCCTGTTTCCACACATCAGCTACAACTCCTGAAAACAGGGATGCCTGAAAAATCAGTTGAAGTGGAATGCTGAGCTTAGGTGCACATTCTCTCAGAACCCATGGTGAAACTCCATCTGGACCAACTGCTTTGTTCTTATTTAGCTCCTTGAGCATTTTTTCCACTTCGTCTCTAGACACCTCTATGTGCTCTATGTTGTTCTCTGGAATTTTTATTGTGTCTGGGTTCCCTAAAGATTTAATTTTGTACAAACACACTTTGGAACTTTTCGTTTAGTGTTTCACACATTTCATTTTCATTTTCCGTGAATCTATTTCCCATTTTCAACCTCTGAATATTATCCTTTACCTGCAATTTGTTGTTTATGAATTTATAGAATAGACCTGGTTCTGTTTTACATTTGTCCACAATCCCTTTTTCAAAATTTCTTTCTGCCTCTCTTATCACTGCCGTGTAGTTGTTTCTCGCATCTTTGTATCGCCAATATGTTTGGGGGTCTGGCCTCTTCCTGTATTGATTCCATTTTTGTGTCTTTTGGCCTCTGGCCCTCTCGCAATTTCTATTGAACCAATCCCGTTTCCTAGTTCTGCATCTGTTTTGGTATAAATTTTTTTGTGCCTTTATCATATATTTCACAAAACTTGACATACATCTCATTCACTTCCTTACCTAGCAACAAGTCTGTCCAATTATACTCACTAAAAAAAATTCTAAGGTCGCCATAATGTCCTCTCCTGAAGTCAGGTTTTTCAACTGCTTCAACCTCCTTATTTTCTTCCAGATTATAACACACTGCATACTTTATTCCCAAAAAGACATGGTCACTTTTACCCAAGGGAGGAAGGTATCGAATGTCAAATATCTCTTCCTCCTTCCTGGTAAATATCAAATCTAACATGGAGGGAACGTCCCCTTCCCTCATCCTCGTAGCTTGTTTAACATGTTGATACAAGAATGTTTCCAGGATGAGGTCTACAAAACTACAGGTCCAAAAATCTTCTGTTTTAGCTTCATATGCTTCCCAGTCTATGGATTTCAAGTTGAAGTCACCGACTATCAACAGTCGTGATCTATCGTTATCCGCTTTCGCTATAATCTCTCATTATTGTTATAAGACCTTCTCGTTTACTATCTGGCTCCTCCTTTGACCATGTGCTGCTTGGCGGTGGACTATATGCATTTATGATCATTAGTTTATCATCTTCATGGCAGATCTCTAGTGCTATTATGTCAACTTCTTGTGGATTGGCAGTCATTATTTCCTTCACCTTTAGGTGTTCTTTCATCAGCACAGCAACGTCACCGCCTTTCCTAATTTTTCTGTCCCGTCTCCAAATTGAGTAGCCCCTTGGGAATATGACCTCATTTAAAATAACATCTTCAAGTTTTGTTTCCGTGATTGCAACAATGTCTGGTGTCTGCAGCTGTATTACATTACTTAACTCCAGTATCTTCGATCTCACTCCATCTATGTTGGTGTATGCAATCTTCAGGAACTTGTTCCCCCTCTCCTTATTCTTCACTCCCCCTCTCTCTATTGATTTTGTTGGTTTGCCTTTATGTACCACTTACTGGTCTGCCTACCCCTAACACTTTGTAGAAAAAAGAATCGATTTCTTCTTCATTCCTGCTCTCATTTAAACGTTTGCCTCTTTGAGGTTCAGTTACAGCTTCTCTGTCTTCTCTGGTATATACGTTGGTGCTTAAAGAGGTTCCTGTTTTTGTTATTAGTACATCCAGGAATGGCAGATTGTTATTTTCCAAGCCCACCAACATAGAATTATGCCTGAACGGTAGAAGTGAGTGCCCCCAAAGATACAAAGCCAGTGTTCTCAATGCTTATATTCGTCGAGCGCTTACCCACTGCTCTGAATGGAACAACGTGAGTAGAGAGTTTGAAAGAGTAACTCAGGTATTGGTGAACAACGGATATAGCAACGCGGAAATAAACGCTGCTATAAGAAGACACTTGGACCGTTGGTATAATCCAGAACCTTGAACAGAAACCACAACACCTCCAATAAAATTATATTACAAATCAACCATGCACAGTGAACATATAAAAGAGGAAAGAATAATGAAAGAAATAATCTGTAAAGGAGTAAAAAGCACTACTCCTAACCAAAACATAAACCTGATAATATTCTACAAAACCAAGAAGACTTCCGAACTCCTTATCAAAAACAGCCCGAAGCCGACGGAGAACCCTCTACAGCAGTCAAGCGTTGTATACATGTACAATTGCCCCCACGAAGGATGTAACCTTCAATCCAAGTACATAGGTATGACGTCGACCAAGCTGACGAGGCGTTTGACATGCCATCTTCAATCCGGTGCCCCTAGGAATCACATGAGACAAGCCCATGACATCACTCTAACAAGAGAAATGTTGAACAAGAATACCTGCATAATAGACAAAACCCAAGATGCAAGAAGATTACAAATTCTTGAGGCAATTCACATAATAATAGAACAACCTACCACGAACACCCAAATCACGGAACTATTTACTCTACCCACCATGAGAGTAAGGACAAGACCAGAACATAACGATGCCAACACAGAAGACAACGTCCAACATAACAGGCCATTTACTCTGGATTAATCTTTGTGTTTAGATAGGAGCTGCCTCGTATGGGCCAATAAGCCTTCTGCAGTTACCTCTATGTTTCACCTCACATTTATCCCTTATGTATCCCCCCATGTTTTCACCTTTATTGTATTATCACCTGACCTAGTGCGGGTATAAAATCAACCAGCATTGTAAGATCTGTTCACTTGAGAATGAACCATGGAGGTTCGAAACGTTGTGCAAATTGTGTGTGTGTGTGTGTGTGTGTGTGTATTATATATATATATATATATATATATATATATATATATATATATATATATATATATATATATATATATATATATCTATCTATCTATCTCTCTCTCTCCTAGAAGGGGTACCACCTCTGGTGCAAGTGTAAGGACCCATAGCCTCGGAGAAGAAATAAAGAGTACTCACAGACGACCTTGTGGATCCTCACTAAACACTTTGATATTTTCTTCTCCTACCACCCCTATTCTTTTGGTATGTGTGTATATATATGCAACTTTATTTGAAAATGTCATTACACAAAAAAAAGTTACAAGATTGGTTACATGCAGGGTACAAGGCTGCTTGTCACAAGTTGTATAGCTCCTCCAGCTCCTCAGATGGTGGGCAGGAACCATGGATGCAGTGAGCATTTCCTCTCTGGATCGCCACACTAAGGCACTGAAAGAGAAAACTGGCAGCTCTAGGGTCTCTAGTTGTTTCAATTATCTTGGACCCCAACTCCTTCAAAAAGCTAGCAGAACTTTTACCCCAGGCACCAAGTGTCTCCGAGGCAATGGGAACAAAATGTAGTGGTGCTCAAGGTCTCTGTATTTACATGACTTGGCTGCTTCCTGGTGATTGGCAGCACCTCCTGCTTGTGTAGCACTGAAGTCAACATGGGTGTTGGCTAAAGTTGAAACGCAAGTGTAGTCCCACACCAACTGTCTACCATTCTTCCAGGGGTTCACCGCGATTCCATCTGGGCGACCAACAGGCTCATCAGAGTTGCGGGACATTAGGTAACGGGGCTCTCTTTCTGCTGGACAACCGGCTGTGGTAAGGCTTCTCTTAATAATGTTGTTAACCTCGTCGTGTCTTGCATGTCATCCTCCTGTCCTTTGGCAGAGAAGGCCATGCCATCCGTACCTGTCGGCCTCTGCCTCGCCACAAATACAGCTGTATTCGGTGTGGATTGGGGCAGCGAGGCGGAGGGCCTACTGTGAGACGGGTGCCGGTTGCTGACATTGGGGGTTGCTAATAGGAAGTCACCTGCATGGAGAGCTGCTACAGCTCTAAGTCGGGCAGTGTCATGTGGTGTTGTTGCAGCTTCTATCAAAGTCGAGCTTCTTGGTCAGCAATGGGGCGATCCCAGCTGGATTGCTTATGGGCTTCAGAAGGCGGTGGTTGGGGTGCTGGTCCTGTTTACAAATGATCTCTTGTTTTTCCTCTATGGTCATTCTCACATGTGTTTTCTCGGCTTGAACCTTACTACTGGCTTTCTTGGGACCCATGACAAGATATATAATAACTTATGTTCAAATACCCAAAAATAAAAAAAAAGTAATTCTTTACAAAGAATTCAGGCGCAATTGTCACTAGGCAGGAGGCACTGGTAAACTGAGGGGCAATCGCCATGCCACCACGTGCTAGGTCGGCCATACCGCGTATCAACAAACTTCGTTTCCCGAGGCAAAGCTCGTACCCCGATTTGGATTTTATAAAGAAATTGGGGTCGTAACCCAAAAAGTTCGTATATATATGGGCATTTGTAAGCCGAGGAGTAACTATATATATGTAATAAAGTGTGGGAAATATAGAAGTGATAACAACAAAATACTACTTACAGAAAATGCAATTTTGCCAAGGAATTCTTCTGGAAAACTCTTTCCTCGTGAGAACACCATAGGGTAAAATTTATCCAGCGAGGTCTCCATCACTTCCATACAAATCCACACATCACCATCTCTGAACAGCGCGCCATAGAAGTGGACTGTGTAGGGGCAAGCTCCAGACCGCATCGAGACATCAAGATCCATTAGCAGGTACTGTTGTTCACGACTGTCTACAGTGCTGGTGATTCTCTGTAATTATAAAGCGAAACGTTTAACTGTAAATATATGTAGTGCTATTTATAATAAGAGCAATGGCTGTAAAACGATAAGCCCCATCCCTAATATCTTTAACAGGTCCATCTGCTGTATATTACTCTTTCATATTCTACAAATACTCTGAATCACAGTGTCTATGTAACACTAGCCAATGTGGATTTAGGACAGGTCACTCCTGCCTCTCTCTCATATACCAGACTACTATGACATGGCCTTAGATGCCAAGGAAGACAAGCAAAACGCTGATGTAATATACGACTTCACAAAAGCCTTTGATAAATGTGACTATGGTGTTATTGCACACAAAATGCGCTCAAAAGGAATTACTGGCAAAGTAGGAAGGTGGCTCTTAAACTTCCTAAGAAACAAAACCCAGAAAAAAAAAATACAACGATTGAGAAGTTCTGCAGCTAGTAATCAGGAATAATCTAATCATGATGTGATAAAATACAATCAACGACTTAAAAACAGCAGCTGGAACATACATTAAAATACATTTACTACATGTATCAATGGCAATGGCAGTCAATCATAATTTGTTAATATAATTTGCCGAATCGAGGCTGGACTGTACTGTGTGAGGCACCAACATAACTAGTGACTAAATGCTCTAAACTGCTCCTCACCTTCACAGCCATGATTGTGTCTGATGGTCTGTGTCTCATTTTCTCTACTACACCATATGCACCACGTCCTAGTTCTCTCAAAAGTTCCAGGTCATCAGCCGAGACTTCCACATCCTTGCCGTCCATGGTTATAGTTGTCCTGCTGTCCAAGTCCCGTGGAGGTCTCCTATATTAATGAAGGTTATCAATTATCTTCACATAATTACTCTGGAATTATTAACTTAGCATTATATAATTACATATGTATTTTCTACATTTCTAATCAGGCCTTAAGAAGCAATTAATAAGACCCAGGAAATTCACATTATTAATTTACATTTACCAGAAAACTCTTCTAGGATAACATTTGGCTTTCATGTTCAAGTTCTTAATTTAAATTAAGTTTCCTGGGTACAGCCTCCCTTTTTCCTGCCATGTTTATCTCAAAAGAGATAAAGTTGTTACAAGGATACACATATTTTTGTGCATAAACACACGCACACACACACAGAGCGTAGCTCTCATCCTGTAACTACACTTAGGTAATTACACTTAGGTAATTACATTACACATTTGTTTTTAAATTCAAGTACTGTAATGGCAATACATACAGGAATTCCTTCAAATCCTCCAGGTCCCTAACAACTTCCTAAAAAAAATTCCAAAATGGTTTTATCATCATATTACTGTGACTGAGAAGTTCCTAATGTTTGTATTATTAACACTTTCGCACGCCCGGTGAAGGTAAAAAAAAAGCGGTATGTGCGCGCGGCGTTTTTGTCGCTTAAGCGTAAAAACAAAAATGTGTACAGTGGTACCTCGGAATGCGATTGTCCCTGTATGCGAGGTTTTCGGAAGGCGAGCAGTATTTACTCCAAAAATTTGTCTCGGAAGGCGAGGGTTACTTCGGGACGCGAGTTTGTTGATTCGCGTACAGGCCGACCTAGCGCGTGGTGGTTCGGCGATCGTCGCCCCTCTGCCCCGCCACCCCTCAGTTTACCATTGTCTCGCGCTCAGTGACTACCCCCACATCAATTCTTCTCGCGGATTTTCAGTGTTTTGTTGGATTTTTGGTGATTTGTCTATACAATTTGTTATTATATATCTCACCATGGGTCCCAAGAAAGCCAGTGGTAAGGATAAAGGCCAGAAAGCTCATGTGAGGATGACAATAGAGGAGAAACAAGAGATCATTCGGAAGCATGAGAACGGTACACGTGTTGTTGAACTCTGTAGGCAGTACAACAAAGCCACATCAACAATATGCACTATACTTAAGAAGAAAAATAAGATTATGGGTGCTAAAGTGGCAAAAGGAGTAAGAACATTAACAGCACAAAGACCACAAATACTTGAAGAAGTGGAAAAGTTGTTATTAATTTGGATACACGACAAGGAGTTGAGGGGTGATAGTGTTTCGGAGGCCATTATTTGTGAGAAAGCCAGGGTGTTGCACAAAGACCTTCTAAAGAATACCCCTGCAACGAGTGATGCAGATAAGAAAGAGTTTAAGGCAAGCAGGGGCTGGTTTGAAAAATTTAGAAAGAGAAGTGGTATCCATAGTGTTACAAGGCATGGGGTTATGTGATGTGATTATGGAAGGGGACTCCCCTTCCAAACAGTAACTCCTCTCCTCCTCCCCTCTCCTCACCATCTTCCATACGCCTACAGCACTCAACAGCAAGGTAAGTAATAACTGGAACATAGTTTTGTAGGTTTATTTAGATGAATTAGGTAAATTAGGTATAAAAATTTAGTTTGATGTGGGGTTTTTGGGGTAGTCAGGAACGGATTAATTCATTTCCCTTTATTTCTTATGGGGAAATTAACTTCGGAATGCGAGTTTTCGGAATGCGAGGCGTCTCCAGGAACGGATTAAACTCGTATTCTGAGGTATGCCTGTATATTCTTTTTACTCTCCTGACCTTAGTTCTCAAGCTACGTATTTCATTTTGGTACCAACGTGTTCGCAATAAAATTATCTAGAAGAACATCAGTAAACAAAGTCACGAAACGTATAGGGATACCAGCACCAAATAAATAACTACGAGGATGACTCGCCGTGAGCGCCCAACAGCAACAAAATGTTTTTACTCTTGGGATTGTTATCACCTCCACACTTGTCCTACAGCGTTAATTTTGGTATCAATGGACTCACAATGAAATTCCCAACACGGTGATATGAATATAAACGTAGAATAATGATCGCGGCCCACCCGCAAGAGTGTGAGAAGTGGTGAAATTGTTACCCGGTATCGGTGACGGGACGACACATGTGCGATACGGTGCTTTGAAAGTTTATACTTATTTCACTGTCCTGACATTATTATTCGATGTACGTCATTCATTTTTGTGTCAATGTGTTCGCAATAGAATGTTCTATGAGCCAGTAGGTAAAAAAGATCAACAAAGCGTAAGATAGAATAGCGCCAAATATAAAACAACGCTGGAACATATCAGCGAGCGTCAAACACACACGAAATGTTTTTACTTTTGTTATGTTTGTCAAGTTTATACTTGTTGCACACAGTTATTTTTGGTTGTACATTGATCGGAATAAAATTCCCTAAACAGACATATGCATATAATACATGATATGGGGGAAGCATTACCAGTATAAACGGCTTGAGTCAGAGTCATCTGACAAAACTGTCTCGTCAAATGGCAGTGTGCCAGACATCTCGGGTTCTGATTCAGTTGCTGCTTCAGCTTGAGGTGTTGAAGTGAACAAGGGCCGCCTCACACCAGATGGTCCAGGAGTTTGCATGGCATCAGCATAGGCAGGACCTGTGTCATCATTTATGTCTGGAGCGTGCCGCAAGTGTTGAGATACTGTTGCTGTTTGAGGCCAATCTTCCGGGTCCCAGCACAATAGGGCCCAATTTGCCACCTCGTGGAACTGTAGCAATGTTAGCTTTTTTTGATCAGTTGTGTTGTATTTGTACAAAACAAAGGCATTATGCAAAGCCATTTGCAGGAAATAAAACGTTATCTTTTAGGTCCACTTGTGAGTTTTCCTGGTAAAATGGTAATACCATTTGATCGAAGTGGTCCACACCTTTCATGAACTTATTGTACCATGCAGCCTAGTGGTGAGAAAGAGAGCCTCATGGCGCGCAGTTTGAAACAAACCCAAAGTAAATCGGATTAAAATTGAATTTTATACAAATATTTTTTTCAGGACATCATTTTATGTCCACATCGCGGAAGCGGGTAGGCGAAACAGGACTCTGGGCGGAGTCCTGATCCGCACAAAGTGTTAAGCTTGAGTGCAAAAAGATAAATGGAGATACTGTACATGACTGAAAAAGCCGAAACCAAGTTATAATAAAACAAGAAGGCTAATATAGCACAACACAACATTGACAATAAAAACATTGACAGGCTTTTAAAAGTGATCTAGATTTACATGACAATACCCAAGTGAGCAAGGGGAACAAATTTTTTTGTATGCAAGTTGCTACTTTGACTGTAGTTGAGAGGGTGAAATCTCGCAATAACATTACAATCACGAGTGTTCATGCAGCATAAACCCAGTGGAGGTTACCCCGGTGAGCCACATCATGGGATTTACCGCAAAATTATCTATACCAATTTATTTCAATGTCAATGATTTATTTTGTTTATTCACCGATTTTTTTTAAGGTATATTATGCACTAATGTATCATTTGAGAAATTTCTACAATAAAACACGTGGAACATCGCAACACAAATATACTGTACGAGCTCATTTATCTGAAGGCCCCCCCCCCCCACCAGATAAGTCAGACATGCAAGTCAGATTCTGCTTGTCAGACAAGCAGAATTTTTACTGAGGAAGAGAGGGGGCCTGGCAGCTGTGTGGACAGCGCTTCGGATTCGTAGTCCGGAGGGTCCAGGTTTGCTCCCCAGTGGAGGACACAAAATGGGCAGAGCTTCTTTCACCCTGATGCTCCTGTTACCTAGCAGTAAATAGGTACCTGGGAGTTAGACAGCTGCTACGGGCTGTTGCCTGGGGATGTGTAACAAAAAGGAGGCCTGGTCGAGGACCGGGCCGCAGGGACGCTAAGCCCCGAAATCATCTCTTAGATCTCAAGAACCTCAAAAGTCCAAAAGTGAACATACTGGTATTATTACTTTTTTGTACCACAACTACATAATTATAGTGTATGTGGAAATTCAAATTAAAAAATATACCAGTACAGTACTGTAATATAAAAAACTTCAGCTTACCTTGCTGTAGTTTGTTTTCTTGACTGATACTGCATTACTGTACAGTATCTTTAAATTAATAATTCTTGAAAATTTACATAATCTAACTTAACACTAAAATTACTACACAGTACATGAGTTTGGCAAGATCAGTTTTGACTGCCAGCTGCTGAAGCTTCATTGGTTGAAGGCTCTTGGCTTTCTGGAGAGGCTTCAGTGGTCGAAGGGCTTGGATTCATTGTGCGGCTTCAGTGGTCGAAGAGCTTGGATTCCTTGTGCGGCTTCAGTGGTCGAAGGGCTTGGATTCATTGTACCGCTTCAGTGGTCGAAGGGCTTGGATTCCTTGTGCGGCTTCAGTGGTCGAAGGGCTTGGATTCCTTGTGAGGCTTCAGTGGTTGAAGGGCTTTTAGTTGCAGATGAACCTTATCTTACCAAATAAGAATCAAGCTTAGCTTACCTTCTGTGTTTATTGGCCTCTCTTATGGTTCACTGGCTCTTCGGTTCGCCTCAGGTACTGATACACATTTCCAACTTTTGGATTAGCACAGTTGGATGAATAATTAATTAGCATGTTAACACTTTCGCGCTCTCGGCGCTCAAAAAAAATCAATACCCCAGATGCTTTCGGCACTTCGCGCGCCTACGCGGTAAGACCGAAAAAGTGTACACTCTTTTAACTGTCCTGACAATAATTGAAGGCGCACGTATTTAAATTTGGTATCACTGTGTTCGCAATGAAATTGTCTATAAGAGCATACCTATAAAATGCCACCCAAGCATAAGGAGTATCAACACCAAATAAAAAACTATGCAGATCACTCGCCGAGAGCTCCAAACAGCAACAAAATGTTTCCACTCTTAATGGTTGCGAAGCCTACAGTTGTCCTACATCGCTAATTTTGGCATCATTGGAATCGCAATAAAATTCTCTACACAGACATATGCATATGAATGTTTAATAAAGGTAATTGCCCACCCGCAAGAGTGTGTGAAATGGAGAGTAGTTAGCCGCGAGCGCACTGGCGAAAACACAGGGGAGAAATCATGCTTGGAAAGTTTATACATTTATACGTTTCCTGACCCTACTTTTCTATGTACGTATTTCTTTTTTATACCAATGTGTTCGCAATAAAATTTTCTATAAGATGAAATGTATAACATTTGTACAAAGCATGTGTAAGAGAAGCGCCAAATATAGAACCACGTCGCTCAGTATGCGTTCGCGGCAGAAACGAACGCATTGTTTTCATTCGTTTGATGTTTGTCATGTTTATACTTGTTGAAACATTTTATAATTTGTATGACAGTGATCGCAGTAAAATTCCCTACACAGACATATACATAACACATACAAATATTTCCCACGTGTTGGATATATCAACGGCTAAAGGGAACCCACTGCCACACGCCCGCCACACCCAGAGCCACACCTGCCACACCCCCAAACATACTTTGTGTTTTTTTTTTTTTTTTTTTTACTCATAGAAGTTTATGTGATATAATATTCATTCTGGTACCAAAAAATTCGCAAATAAATTCTCTACACAACGTATATAATATAACTTCTTATAGATGATAAAAAATTCCAAATAGGTGTACTTACCCTGTCTATGTTGATTGAAGATCAACAGTTGAGCATTTTTTCTTCACTCCACCATCTTCAGGCTTCTGATCCTGAAGTTGCTCATCTGATGTTTCTTAGGTGGAGTGAAGCTGTTGCCGGTGGTTATTTTTTCTCCACCCAAAATATCTTTCTTCGGTGGTACCTTGTGTAGCAAGGCGCAGCGCACAGTGCCACATCACAAGTTTTACATCCATATATCACGTCCCTCCTTTTGCCAGACTTGAAACAAACACGGCATCTTCTTTTTTTAGCCAAGTGCACGAGTTCATGCGTCAACTTGTAGTTGAGACGTTGTTCTGAATCTATAATTCTTGTATTTCTTGGATGCACTGGAGGAATATTGTCTTCTACAGGAACCACCAAACTTGTAGTAGAATCTTCTATGAAATCAGAAACATCAAGTGGTTCTATGTCCTCAATGTCCATTTCAGAATTTGTGGTTGATGAGTGGGCTTGAGGTGTTGAGGTGAACAGAGGATGCCTCGCACCAGATGGGCCGGGTGTTGAAACTGCCGCGTCAGCAGGAGGAGCTGCGCTGGCATCTATGTCGGGAACATGTGGTATGCTTGTTGTTGTTGGCCATTCCTCGCTGTTCCACGCCAATAAGGCTTTTATTCCTACTGCGTGAAACTCTAATAGTGTTAGCTTTTTTGTATCTGTTGAGTAGTGGTTATACAATGCGTATGCATTGTGCATGGCCATTTGCAGAAAACAGAAAGTGATTTTCTTGGTCCATTTGTGGGTTTTTCTTGCAAACTCATAACATTTGACCATTTGATCAAAATGATCAACACCTTTCATGAACTTATTGTAATCCACTATGGCCTTGGGTTTGTTCATTTTCACAATTTCTACTCCAGTTATCCCGTCACGTTTACGAACGCGTTTCCTGCGCTGTGCTTGAGTAGTGTCGGCATTGTGGATATTGGTGATGACAGAGACGGGGCGCTTGTCCTTCCAAACTATAACAAAGGTGTTATCCTTACGCATGTATACGGTCGTGTCGGTTGCCATTTTACCCTTTACCACTTGTTGCAGATCCTTGGGGGCGCCACGTTGGAGTCTAAGTGTGCCACATGTGTAAACACCCACTTCACGTAATTGTTCTGTTAGGCTTACCGAGTTATAGTAGTTATCCATATACAAATGATAACCCTTGTTGACTAGGGGCGCCATCAACCCCATCATGGTTTCCACTGTCGTTTTTCCAATTCCACAATACACATCAAATTTATATATGTAGCCTGATTTCCCTTCGGCCAACATATAAAATTTTACACCATATTTATCAGGCTTGTTGGGATTGTAGACCTTGAAAGAGAGGCGGCCGCGCCATGCCATTGTACCCTCATCGAGACTCAATTCTTTTTTGGGGACAGATATATACAGATATATACAATATATACAGATTCAAATTTTTCTGAAAAATAGTCCATTAGTGGTCTAACTTTTATCAATCGGTCACTATTATTCACTGGAACGCCTTTTTTGTTATACATGTGGAAGAACTTAGAAATGTGTTGGAACCGAGCAGACGACATAAACAAGTTGAAGAATCGACAATGCCACATCTGATTCATATGCCAGTACATCCTCATTGTAGGCATCTTCACTATGCCCATCAGTATGCACAGGGCCAAATATCGGGCCATTTCTTTCACCGACACTGGTTTCCACGTTTTTCTTGCTGACTCAGCCATGAGATGTATGACGTGTGTGGCATGCAAATTTGTTTCATACGCTAAGTATTCAACCACTGCTCTAGTGAAAAATAATTGTAAAAACTGCAATGGAGTAGCAGGTAGTGGAATTGTTAGGCCAGGGGTTGCAGTAAAGTCATCAACGATGGGAGGAGTATTGCTACGATTCCACTCATCACCCAGCCTAGCCCTCTTTGGTACCAGACACGTGCGGTTACCGCGTGGCGGGGCTGGGGCTTCTTCATCACTCTCATCCTCACTCTCACTCGAAATATCATCATCACTTGTGGAAACCTCATAAAGCACATCATTTTCCGGTTCGTCAGCCTCCAAATCATCATCAGAAGACCCTGAAAAGGCTTCAACAACGTCGGGAATCTTGGATGGAGTGAGATTGACCCCACGATACAGATCGAAAATCCTGGCGATCTCTTCTGCTTTCCTAGATTTCCTACCTTTGTTTTGCGTTCCACTGCTTGTTCCTGGTGCAGCATCCATGTTGAAGGTATTGAATGGGTTTTAGGTACAAGAGAACGGAAACGGAACGGAAATAAATGCGTAAAACGGGTCACGTTTGCCGCGAGAGGGGAGCGCAGTGTGGGCACTTGGCGTGTCAACAAAACAATGGGCCGACCACGTGACCGGGTAGGCCGAGATGCCATGTGTTCGGTGAGGGAGAACGGGAATTTCATGGAGAAAAATCTGAGAGTATCCCCATCCATTTCGGTTAAAAAATGGAATTTATAGAAATATTTTTTCGATGGACTAGAAAAGCAGGCTGTTATGCGGAATCGTAAGAAAAAACGGTGACAAGTTATCTCTAATCTAAAGCGCGAAAGTGTTAACAGAAGACATGAGTAAACTGTATTTTGTTGTCTGTGGTGTTGGTTACTCGTTGCCATCTTCATCTATCTCACCAGTAACAACCTGAAGAATCTCTTCTTCACTCATCACTCATCCTGGGTCATCAACATCTCTTTCTAGCCCTTCAACCACATCCTGTCTTTCTAAATTTTCACTAGCATTTCAGAATATTCCATGGATTTCATCTGTAAATCCTTCAAAATTCATATCTTCTTCCTTTTCATTGTTGATTGTAGCTGTGAATTTTCTTCCTGGAATTCTTCAATACCTTTACTTCACTCTACACTTTTAGACTATTTTAAACAGCTTCTTTCATGGAATAGTTTTTCTAATTAGTTTTTTTTTAACCTTGGTATCCAAGCCAAGTTCCTCATCTTCCTCAAGAGGCAAAACTACCAAAAATTTGTTGAGCATTTTTTTTGCATTATCAAGCAACAGTCTGAACTATTAAGCCTGAACTTCGCTTGGCTTCACTTTTGTTTCTCAATTTGATGTCACAAACTTCCTTGCAAAACACATTATGAAACCAAGAAAGAAAAACCTAAGTAAACCATACACTCTTTGAGCTACAATATTTCATAGGCAGATTATTCAAGCAATGTTGCAAGGCTCTTGGTTTCTTGGATTTGCCAATAATTGCAAATACACGCGGCCCCGCAATGTATGCTTGATGGGGTTCTGAGAGCTCTTCTACTCCCCAAGCCCGGCCCGAGGCCAGGCTTGACTTGTGAGAGTTTGGTCCACCAGGTTGTTGCTTGGAGCGGCCCGCAGGCCCACATACTCACCACAGCCCGGTTGGTCCGGCTGTGTCGTGCTTGTCGTGCTTACACGCGGCCCCGCAATGTCGTGCTTACACGCAACACGTGGTGATATAACAATTTAAAGGCGTAGACAGGGAAGTAACTATTGTTATAATCTAAACATCTACAGTATTCATTAACAGGAATTAATGCAATTAAAGCTAACAAAACAAAATAAATGTTTACAAAACAACAAGATGTTCATATCAACGATAACCGTTCACTATTACTTACACTGGTTGAGGTGCTTGATTTTCCACAAATTTAAATTTAAGGTCTGGACCTTTCCTCTTCGGTCGTCCTGTGGGAAAGTAAGGCAACAAAAATTAAAAGTATTATCTTGCAAGCAGCCAAGTAGTGTATATATAAAAAAAAATTAAATATTTTTGTCAAATACAGTCTTGACAACTGCTCTTTTTTAGCATCCATAAAATTAAAACAGGCTTCAGAAAGAACTTATGGAGATATGCAACATATCTCAAATCATGGCACTTTAGTCAATCTTTTTATGTACAATTTATGAGATTTGAAGCACAGCAGGGTAGTCCAAAACTATAATAACCCTGGGTTGAGGACGACCTTGAAGCACTTCTGAGCTAGTAAACTGATTAGTAAATACAGAATTATCCACCTTAATCAAAATAAGGAGATACAGCTCTCAAAGTAGACATTTAGGTGCTTTATTAATCTGGGCCATGCACCATATGGGTACTACAGTTTCTGAAGGGGGGCAATGTACCCACATGTTTTCTAAATTTCACTTCACTATTTGGAAACATGAGTACAAATGATGTACAGTATTTTTATATTTTTTCTAAGGAACCTGAATGAATAAAATTTGTGAATTTTCATAAACTGTTGTATCAGTGCAATTCCTGGTTATATAAAATGCACAAGAACACAATAGATTTGGTTAAATCCTAAATAGCAATCACAACCACATATGAATAAACTATTATTCATGCATTTGCTGTTTATTGATGGATCACTGGCTTTCCCCCCCTTACTTGGAGAATATATTTCAACTGCATTAGAGACTAATAACTGTTGCATGAATTAAAATGCCCAAAACTCTGCATGTAATTAGTGGCTTTATAAAATATACACTTATTGCACTTACTATGCAAACCCTGTAATTTAATCCTTTTTTATAAATAAAATATGTTGTTGTTATTGTTAAAAAAATTCTTATGGTATTAAATCATGGTGGAACATTACAAGCAAAGTTTCTTCATAGTATTTGCACCTGAGCACCCATTATTTATTGGGGACCTGGATGTAAATCAACTGGCAGAGTGTTTTAGGCAAACTTAATACAGCACAAACTGCCAAAAATAAATAACAGAAACATCACCGAATCAAATTTTTTTAATTGTTTGTTTGTCTGCCTGTAAGAGCTTTATCAAATTTTAAGATACAGGTAGACTTGGTTTACACTCCTCTACAACACTTGAGGGAACAGGGTTGGCAGTAACAGCACCCTATTTGAATCAAACCAGACCCTCAAAATCATTAGAGAATACACTTGAGCTAGTATTCCATCCATTACAAATATGCCACAACACAAAACAAATTTTGACTTACCATGCATGGCTGCTGTTTACTTCTTCTTGTACAGTACCAGATTCTGCAAGAGAGTAGAAGTGGTTATTGGTTGTTAGCTTTCAAACTTACATCAATATTGATTTTCATCAGTCTTCATATAGATAAGTCAGAACTATCATTATTAAGTACCATTGTAGTAAAAACAATGAAATAAACTTTACTGATGTCTTTCAAAACTGCAATACCATGTACTGGACAATATACAACAGGGATCAAGATCATGGACAGAATAAAAATAGGAGACAGTCACCACATACAAAACTGTAATGAGAATTGACGAAGTTTGAGGAATTTATAAAATCTGCTAAGAAAACATAAGTGTCTAAAATTGTGAGTGAATAGGTTTTTAGCAAACAAAGACCAGTAGATGGATGAAATAAATCAGAGAGTCATTTTGTAAAACCACCAAGATCTTCAAAATGTCACATGATAAAGATTTGTAGGGAATGCAGGACATCATAGGCACAGCTCTCATCCTCTAACTAGTCACATCCTAGCACACCACTAGGACCAAGTGGTGTGATGCCTTGCTTTAAAGTCAACAAACATTAAAGTTAACATAGAGAGTATCACATAAAAAGTATCATAATTACTGTACTGTACAGTGTATGTCAGTACTGTAATATAAATTTACCACAGATGCCATTCCATACATTTATACTGTATCATCAACCTACCACAACTTGGAATAACTGAACAAAATATATTAAATCAAAATCTCTTTCATTAAATATTAAAGCTCTACAGGGGTAAGATTGCAAGTTATAAGTCTGCTCCAAGTAAAAAGAATTAAATGCAATCAATGAAATGCCTCATTTTGGTGGGTCCTTGGTGGCTCCTTGTTGCTAGCTGCCAGGTTAGTTCCACACAATTTGAGTCACAGCAGGCCCTTGTGAGTCATTAAAAGTTTATCAGAGACCAAGTCAAAATCTGGCCTCTTAATAGAGGCACAGCGAGCAAAGGATGCTAGATCAGATGAGGAGGAGAAACGTCGCCGTCTCTTCACTTTCTAGTGTGTGGTTTGGTCAACATACTAGATCACTGACAGAAAAAGCCACCAATAAGGTAGAGGGAACCAAAACAGGGAGATATGTAAATAACTCTGAAAACAATTTAGTGTACTTGGTAGTTAAGTCATTAACCTCCATTAGCAGCTGTCAACCACCACATGGCAGCACAGCAAGCTACTGGCTCAGCTGGAACAATTACCCAGTCATGCATGAGCCAACCAAATGCAAAATCAACACACCTGGAAGAAGGGAGAGTCCAAGGACCCCACCAGAAAGAGGTGTTTTATTACATTCAACGCTGGTTTTCTGGGAGGGCTCTGGTGGTTCCTCCCTGTTGCCATCTCATCAGAGACAAAAATACAGAAGGAAACTCACCAGTGGCAGGAAAAAGCAGAAGCCAATAACCTCTGTAGGAGGGAGATTTAGTGATGGGTAACTATCCAATACCACACTAAACTTTGATTAGTGAAACAAACTGCTGAAAGAGGGAGAGCTGCAAGTTAATGCAAAAGTTTAGACATAAATATCAAAGGGCCAAAAACCATAGCATGGCTAGCAAAAAACCAGCGTTGAATGTAATGAAACGCCATTTTCTGGGTGAGTCCCGGAGGCTCCCCGGAGCTATCCCAGGCTGATATGCTAATGTCAGACTTTGGCATCAGTCATGTGTATGGAGTTCTTAGGCCTACCGGGGACCACGGCCAGAACCGGGCCCCCTCAGAGAGGCAAGGGGAGCAATGGCCTATAGAAGCCCCCGTGAAGTTGGAAGCAGTCTATGTCTGCCATCGACCGGAACAGGCACCCAGAAAGGTAAGCGCCCCAAAACAAACCCCTATTCTGGTTAAAATTGCTACCTAAAACCGAACTAGTCGATAGAACTCCCCAACCGAAAACAAGCAAACTAGTGTGACGTCACACACTGCCGCGCCGCTGTCTGCGCAGCTCCCCCCTCCCCGGGAGGGGGAAGGGGGAGCCCCAGACCCCCCTCCCCGGGAGGGGGAAGGGGGAGCCCCAGACCCCCCCTCCCCGGGAGGGGGAAGGGGGAGCCCCAGACCCCCCGCGCCGGCTACCCACACCTCAGTTCTTGAGGCTGGATGTCAAAAACGCGAAAAACCGCCGACCGGAGGGAGGGAGGGATGCCGGGGAGCCTCCGGGACTCACCCAGAAAATGGCGTTTCATTACATTCAACGCTGGTTTTCTGGGGGGAGCCCCGTCGGCTCCCCGGAGCTAACTACCCACAGACAGAAAAAGAGGGACTTACCCGGGAGGCGGTCGTCGCTCACCCCTCAACTCGAAGCCGAGACAACTGGCTGCAACCGCCGACCCAAAGCAACACAGGCCCGACGAGGCCCAGGGACATTCACAAGGTAACGAGCAGCCAGGACCCTGTTCGACCGCCATTATCCCCGCGCCCGAATATCAGACCAAGACATATTCCCAAAGACGGCAGCAAGAGCCGCGAACTTACGAACGTCATGGGCACGGGGATAGACCGCAGGCTGGCTGGACCTAATAACCCTGCGGACGACCTGAGAGACCCGAACCCGCGAACAGGGAAGAAGGGAAACCGGATCAACCCACAGCGCGTCCCCGGACACAGAAGCTGTGGCGCGCAAATAACGGCGAAGCGCCGCGATGTCGGGAAATACAAGCTGAGCAGCACCCTGCACCCCTACCAGTGCAAACTGCCTCTTACCTGCCGGTAACAAGGGAGAACAGAACACCCAAGAGCCCAACAGGCGGCCGAAAAACCGAAAGGTAAAACGGACCAGCAGAGGCAGACCCCGAGGAGCCTGTGGAAGGTGGCCCCAAGCCCCAAGGGCAGTACTTACAGGGCACCTAGGGAAGGCAGCCCTAGGCGCATGCAGCCCGAGTACTGAAGATAACTCCTGGCTCTCGCACCCACAAAACTAACACCACACGCAAAGCACAGTGCAGTAGCGACACCGGAGCCAGAGCACACGACCATCGCCTATAGCATCAGCCTCAAGAACTGAGGTGTGGGTAGCCGGCGCGGGGGTCTGGGGCTCCCCCTTCCCCCTCCCGGGGAGGGGGGAGCTGCGCAGACAGCGGCGTGGCAGCGTGTGACGTCACACTAGTTTGCTTGTTTTCGGTTGGGGAGTTCTATCCACTAGTTCGGTTTTAGGTAGCAATTTTAACCAGAATAGGGGTTTGTTTTGGGGCGCTTACCTTTCTGGGTGCCTGTTCCGGTCGATGACAGACATAGAATGCTTCCAACTACACGGGGGCTTCTATAGGCCATTGCTCCCCTTGCCTCTCTGAGGGGGCCCGGTTCTGGCCGTGGTCCCCGGTAGGCCTAAGAACTCCATACACATGACTGATGCCAAAGTCTGACATTAGTATATCAGCCTGGGATAGCTCCGGGGAGCCGACGGGGCTCCCCCCAGAAAATGAGATAGCAGGAGAATCTTGTCAGAAAACAATGCCAACCTAGAGCAAAAACTAGAGTGAAGAGATATAGGAACCCCCCATTGACCCCAATCCAGCGGAAAGCCATCCACTGTGAATGGGGCCACATAATAAGGATGCCACCAGTTCCACACCGACCCAAGAAAGAGGTCTACCTAGGGAAGCTCCAGCTTCGACACAGGACCAGAAACCATGCCAGAGAAGACAGACTTGAATTTCCCCCCACCCCCTTTCAAGGAGGAATCCCTTCCAAGAGAAACCCCAGAACAGTAGACAGCAGATCCCTGATGGGAAGCACCAGCTCAACTGCATCTGTTACTGTCATGGAAGGGGTGCCACCCCTGGAGATGACCCTGTCACCCACACACCAGTACCAATCCTGGACTCCGAAGCCCAAAGATGCTTCAGAGCGTAGACCAATGGAAGGGAAAAAGAAACCTGGTGGACAACACCACCTGGACCTGAATAAGAATGAGACTGGGGAGCAAACTTGGAATAAGCAAGCACCACCAAATGCTTCACCACATCAAAAAATCACAGTTAAATGTAATGAAATGCCTCTTTCTGATTGGTTCTGGTGGCTCCCTAGTGCTTACTGCCTGGCAAGCTCCACCCAATTTGATTTATGCTAGGCCCTAGTCAGTCATAAATAAATCTACCAGGGCACTAGAGCCAAATTCTGTCCCCTCTCTATAGAGGTGTAAAGAGCAGGGAAATGTGAATCATCCTAACCAGAAGCAGCCACCAGAAAGGACTGGGGAAGTCAAAACAGTTGACAAAAAGGTAAACAAATCATAGAAAATGTAATAGCAAAGCCACAAGATTCACAAATCACTTGATGATGAAGCAATTCTAACATTAGTTCCACCTCTGAACCACCAGGAATTGTGCACTTTTTATCTTGAATCAATGTTGACAAAACCTCCTCCTCCTCCTCCCCCCCCCTTCCCCAACCCAGTGATATACAGTAGCATGGAAAACAAAAATTCCCTAAATTGTGGGAAGTGAGAGTCCCAGGAAGTTCCCTGGACCCCACCAGAAAGGAGCATTTCATTCAATGTTGGTTTTCTAGGAGGGATCCTTTATTGGCTTTATGCCATCTAAGGGACGAAAGTACAGTACTTCACAAACCCCTGCAAATTATGACAAGCTTTGAGTACTGTATACATAAAGTACTTAAGGAGTTTAAAGGCATGTTTAATAGTGGTTGCTGATATAAAACACACATTAGAGCAGCTGAGCACACACATACAAAGAAATAATACAGAACACTTAAATTCCACAAGAAAAGATATCAGCCTTCAAGTCTCTGGAAGCTTGCTGCTAGGCAGCATAATGGTCGTCACAATTCTGACATTTTTAAGTGTGATATAAATACTCACTTCTTATCCAAATACTTGCATCCTGTATGTCACGTGAGGCATACATACATGCCTTAAGTACATCCTGTCCCCCCTACTAGTCCAGCTATTTGGGAGATTAATAATAGATAGTTGCTTTGTGCACCAAGTTTTAAAGAAAGAGATAAAGAAAGATAAAGAGAGAGAGAGAGAGAGAGAGAGAAAAAGAGAGAGAAAAAAGAGAGCGAGAGAGAGAGAGAGAAAAAAGAGAGAGAGAGAGAGAGAGAGAGAGAAAAAAGAGAGCGAGAGAGAGAGAGAAAAAAGAGAGCGAGAGAGAGAGAGAGAAAAAAGAGAGCGAGAGAGAGAGAGAGAAAAAAGAGAGCGAGAGAGAGAGAGAGAGAAAAGAGAGAGAGAGAGAGAGAGAGAGAAAAGAGAGAGAGAGAGAGAGAGAGAAAAGAGAGAGAGAGAGAGAGAGAGAGAGAGAGAGAAAGAGAGAGAGAGAGAGAGAGAGAGAGAGAAAAGAGAGAGAGAAAAAAACTAAAGAGAATGAGAAGAGAGAGGACGAAGAGAAAGAGAAGAGAGAAAGAGAAGAGGAAGAGAAAAAGAGAGGGCAAAAGAGACAGAAAGAGATGAGGGAGGGAGAAAGAAAGAAGATATGGGGAGGAAGAAAGAGAAGAGACAGCGAGAGAAGGGAGAAGGAAAGAAGAGGCGTGGGGGGGGGGAATAGAGAGAAGGGAGGAAGAAAGAGTGATCAGAAGGTAGGGAACACAGGTAGATTGGTGGATGGAAGAAAGGGTGGGGGGGTTACCAAGAGAAAGAGGGGGGGGGGGGGTTTACCAAGAGAAAGAGGGGGGGGGGTTACCAAGAGAAAGAGGGGGGGGGGGGTTACCAAGAGAAAGAGGGCAAGATTCAACCTCTTTTTTTGGCTTAAAAAAATATATATTTGTTTGTATATGTGAATACATACATCAAAGAGATCAAAGAGCCAAAGCTCCACCCCTGCAAGGACATCTAGGTGAGTGCATGGTGATAATTATCCATGCCTGCTGAGCTGTTTCCCAATAGATGACTGGGTGATGTTACAATGGGAAATGAAGAGTCTGCTGCACCCCCTTTGCTATCACAGCAAGAGCAAGTCTAGTATTTGTACCACCAAGAAGGATGCAGGAAGAATTAAAGCATCCAAGTCAAATACAGTGCAATATCTTGAGGTTATCTCGAGATGATTTCGGGGCTTTTTTTTTTTTTAGTGTTCCCGCGGCCCGGTCCTCGACCAGGCCTCCACCCCCAGGAAGCAGCCCGTGACAGCTGACTAACACCCAGGTACCTATTTTACTGCTCGGTAACAGGGGCATAGGGTGAAAGAAACTCTCCCCATTGTTTCTCGCCGGCGCCCGAGATCGAACCCGGGACCACAGGATCACAAGTCCAGCGTGCTGTCCCGCTCGACCGACCGGCTCCCAATGATTGCAATGTTCAACTGACTTAAGTGTGAGAAGTCCTGAGAAAATGGAAAAATTACTAGCAACTTGGCTGAAAATGTAGATTCGACAGAGGGGTACCATTTAATTTTAGTATTATCTTTACCAAGGCCTTAAAGACACAACACCAATGCATGAAGGTGGTTCACAAACATAAGTAAATTATTTTTACACCAGCAACAGTTGGTGTCATCAGTTTACAAAGCACCAACAGTTTTGTGATGTTAAGTTCACTGTTTAACCTGCAAGTGCTGATGTAGCAGCCATGACCAGGTATCATACCCTGAGGAGCTGAAGGATACTATTGAAGCTGGTGGCTACACACTGCAGCAAGTGTTTAATGCTCATAAAAACTGGGTTAAACTGGAAGCAATCTCAAGAGATAAAGTTCCCAAGTTACAAAGTGTCAACAAATAGTGTAACTATTCTCCTTTGATGGAATGCAGAGGGGCATTTAAGTTTAAGTCTCCGCTGAATTACCACTCTTAATTCCAGTTTCTTGAATGTCATTGTCATACTATTTTTCCAGTGCAGTGAAAAGAAATAAAGCTTGGATGATAAAAGTATTCTTTGATGACCACCTTGTCCATGAGTTCGGCATCGAGATCAAAAGCTATTGCCATGAAATGAGCCTTCATTTTAAGGCATAGCTCATTTTGTATTGTGCCCAATGACTTTGAGTTGACTTACCAGACCTTCACCCAAATGTTAAGGTCTTGTTTTTGCTACATCAACACCACCACAATAAAATTGATTAGGATGACATTTGCCCAGTGTGTACATGCTACAGACGAGTTACTAATACATCAGAATTTTGGAAGAATTGCATCATGAATGCTATGATGGGCACCAGCAAAGCACGAGATGAAGTGAAAAGCATGACCATGAATGGCTTTTGGTGGAAAATGTGGAAGGAGTGCATGCATGACTCCTGAGGTGTGTTACAGCCTCCAAAATTGCAAAGATTGTGAGACTTGGTCAAAGGTTTGGAGAAGGTTTCAATGATTTGCAAGGAGAGTACATAAACTAGTCAATGACCCCATGAGAACAATGTCTGTGGAGAATTTGGTGGAGCTGGCAGAGAAAGCAGAACAGAATGGGACCACTTTTAAGATAAACAGATAACAGAAGTTATTTGCAGAAGTCAACAGGGTGATGCAAACTGCAACAGAAATGGATCCAAATTATGAAGGTAGTTTGCAAACTGGGATGGTAAAAAAGAATGCTGCGGCTCTTTGCTATGAAATTTTCCGGGTGAAGCAAGAGTCTAGCAAGGTAAACTAGCATTAAAGATTATTTTAAGCCCATCACACCAGCTAAAGGCACATTAACTTCTATTGCTGCCTTCTATACAGCAACACGTGTGGTTGACACAGTTGATCAGATGTTGAAAGAAAATGTGGAATGATAGCCCAGAACAATCTTTTATCCCTAAAGGTATCACTTTCCCAGCCAGTCAGTAGATGACAATGACACTGATATGCTTGCAAAGACAGTCTGTAGAAAACCAGTAGTAGAAATTGATATGGGCGTTTCAATTAAATATTATGATAGATATTGCGAGACATTCACATATGGGACTAATAGAGCAAGAACTCGGCAATGTGATGTTATAGTTGCTAGAATTCACCTGGAATATAAACGTATCTGGCAGCTTTCTCAAACCCCAAATGTTGAGTGCACAATGTGTCAACTTCGTGAAAGAGAAAACATGCACTCCCTTGAACATTATATTGTAGAATATCCCATATTGAGTAACTTTTGCCCTCCTGGGCTGAGGTATGCTGAACTCTGTAACTACTATATGAGTACTGGAACACTTGATATATTGGACTTGTACCCTAGATTGACCAAGTAATGTATCAATTATACAATGTATGTATGTGATGTAACTATATAACCTGAGCTCGTAAAAGCATCTTAATCACCTTCAGTGGTTAAGTTGTTAATTGCACACTAGTTTCTCTACCAGCTATCTCACCCTGTCAGAGTAAAATCAGACAAATGTATGTGTGTGTATATATGTATATGTGTGTGTATGTACTGTATGTGTATAAAGTATATGTGGAAGCTGATCAGAGTTACGTTTCACCTTTGTAAATGCACATTAATGACACTATGTAAAAGATACATCAAACACTTTATGTAGCATACATAAATCTGTGTATCTATGTATTTACATATGTAGCCTAGCCTAGCATTCTAAAAGCACTACAATCACCTTCTGTGGTCGATTGTTCAATAAATCCCTGAACTGTATGTTTGACAAATCTCTCACCCTGTCCATGGAGGACAGAAGAAAATGTATATATGGTGGTTAGCATTGTAAATGTGTGGCCACATCTGTGGTACAAAATAATATAAAAAAAGACAGCAAACAAGTCTGATTTGGATGACATACCACCCTACTGCATCCAACAGGTTGGTACACTCCATCTTCAACTTACATAAGGCCTACAAAATTAGTTTAAAAATCATTCCTATAATACTTTAAAATTACAGTACTGTATTTTGTAATGTGATCTGATCTCAGATTCCCATTGGTTATCACTGAAAATTGCTAATATATATTTATTTATTTATATACAAGAAGGTACAGTACATTGGGTTCATGAAAGTACAGAGACTTGTTTACAGAGGTTTACATTCTTGTAAAGCCACTAGCACGCATAGCATTTCGGGCAGAATGGGTTATATGCAGTCTAAATCAGGCTCAAATTTACCTACATTCTTGTGTCTTATGAACTTTTTGGATTATGTTTTAAATTTGAAGCTGAAAAGTACAAGAAAATTAAATATTAATGTTAAAAGATATCTTGTTGACCAAGAGCTTGGTAAGAAGTGAACTTTTGCAAGCTTTTTGCAAAATCTTTTGCACCCTATTTTCATCTATAATACAGAACTTTTAAGAATGACCTGCATAGCATTAATCTAGGAATCTAACCACATGACAACTCAAGCGCAGCTTTTATTGACTGTGTGTGTGTTCCGTGTTACATGGTATAGTTGTGGGCATGATATTTACAACCTAGTGTAAATCAGGAAATCTGCCTTGTGGCTGACATGTTGCAGAGAAAAAGCTAGTAATGAACACAGCCAATATTACCTTGGGTATAATGTGAATTTTAATATTTAATTCATGGTGTCAAGGGACAGGCAGCTTGAGTGTATTTATACACATTAGGGTTATACTGAGGTTCCCTTCACAAGGTCAAATTGACCTTCCCAGGATGCAACTCCACAACAAACTTGGACGGTTAGGACGCTCAATCTCCAGTGTGCTCTCCCAGCCAAAATGTACTCCCAACACCAGGGAAGACTAAAAGCCAAAAAACAAACAGACCTACCTTGGGTGAAAACCACAAGCAAGGAAGCCCTCAAGGGAAGCCAGCCCCAAACACTTCAGAGAAGAGAAGCCAAAGAAAATCTTTGGGTGGATAATAAGGACTGACTGCCCACCCTAGCCTGGGCCAGGACATGTACAGTACAGTATTTAGTACTACATGCTCATCAGTTACATTGGTGGCCATCACCTGACACTAGGCCCCACTGCACCAACTGATCCCGACACTTTACACACATAACCACTGCACTAACTTGTCCCGACACCTTACACTCACGACCACCGCACTAACTCATCACGACCACCACACTAACTTGTCACGACACCTTACACACACGACCACCGCACTAACTCATCACGACCACCACACTAACTTGTCCTGACACCTTACACTCACGACCACCGCACTAACTCATCACGACCACCACACTAACTTGTCACGACACCTTACACTCACGACCACCGCACTAACTCATCACGACCACCACACTAACTTGTCACGACACCTTACACTCACGACCACCGCACTAACTCATCACGACCACCACACTATCATGACACCTTACACTCACGGCCACTGCTGTAACAACTCATCCTGGCACTCAGCACTGCCATAATTCATCCTGGCACTCAGCACTGCCATAACTCATCCTGGCAACCAGCACCACTGTAACAACTCATCCTGGCACCCAACACTCAAGATGCCACTCAGCACTGCTGTAACAACTCATCCTAGCACTTGGCACCCCATAACAACTCAACCTGGCACCAAACACTCAGGATGCCACTCAGCACCCCGTAATAACTCATCCTGGCACCCAACACTCAGGACACCACTCAGCACGTCCCTAACCACTCATCTTAGCACCCAACACTCAGGATGCCACTCAGCACTGTCGTAACAACTTATCCTGGCACTCAGCACCACCGTAACCACTCATCCTGGCACCAAACACTCAGGACGTAACTCAGTACGGCCCTAACCACTCATTCTGGCACTCAGCACGGCCCTAACCACTCATCCTGGTACTCAGCACGGCCCTAACCACTCATCCTGGCACTCAGCACGGCCCTAACCACTCATCCTGGCACTCAGCACGGCCCTAACCACTCATCCTGGCACTCAGCACGGCCCTAACCACTCATCCTGGCACTCAGCACGGCCCTAACCACTCATCCTGGCACTCAGCACGGCCCTAACCACTCATCCTGGCACTCAGCACGGCCCTAACCACTCATCCTGGCACTCAGCACGGCCCTAACCACTCATCCTGGCACTCAGCACGGCCCTAACCACTCATCCTGGCACTCAGTACGGCCCTAACCACTCATCCTGGCACTCAGCACGGCCCTAACCACTCATCCTGACACTCAGCACGGCCCTAACCACTCATCCTGGCACTCAGCACGGCCCTAACCACTCACCCTTGCACCCAACACCACTCAGCACGGCCCTAACCACTCATCCTGGCACCCGGGGCGAGGCACTTACTAGTTATAAGAGTGCCACATACCCCATGCCAAGCCTCGCTGGCGGCCACAAATGTGAACCCTGGCGGGGGAAAATGTCGGCCGCCGCGGGCTCCACCACCCCCCCTGCAGCAGCAGCAGCAGTAGTAGTACACAAGGCAGCGCGCGTCATGAGGCAAGTGGAGGCAGACTCACCTGTGGCGAGGCTGACTCACAGATGACTCAGGGGGGATGACTCACGAAGGCCACACGGACCCTCCACGACCACTCGGCAGACAACAGCTCCCGGTCGCTTACCCACCACTACCGCCCGTCCTCTCCACATCTCCACTCCACAATAACAACCTTGAATTTATCCATTAATACTGACTTTATTTACAAAAAAATTGACATTTACAAACTGTGTACCGTTTTTAAATTGGTATTTTAAGGGTAACGTATATTTTGCAGGTGTTGAGAGGCAACGAGTATTTTTTGCGGGTGAGAGCTTAATGTTTATCAAAACAAATATGTCATTCATAAATGGCAATAAAATTAATAAAAATTATTTAAAATAAATTACATTTAACTACGATGATGAATAGATTTGATACAGCAAACTTAATGCATATATTTATATGAAGGACTCCAGATAAAACTCAGAATCTTATCAGACTTACATTGGGATTGAATGAATTCTTAGGCAACTTAACCGAGTACGTATTGAGGGTAATGTTTAAATGACCATAAATAATAATAGAACTCTAGCTATGGTTGGAACAATAGATCACTATAACTATGGTAGGGACAATAGAACCATGGTTGGGCCTATGGATCCATAACAATGAATGGGACCGGTAGTATTCGTAAAAGTATACCATACTACTTGTGTTAAGTAGGAATTGTATATGTTTATCTCTCAAAATGTTCGGCAATATGTTTATTGTTTGTGATGTGTGTCTATATATGTATAAATAAGTTGTACTGAACGGGGTGAGAATAGCTTGAGCTTCCTCATCCCTTTGTGTGTATTTTACCTCAATAAACTTATTTCAATTTCAATTCCACTTTCAATTTCGTAAAAGTGGTCACAAGTCGTTATCAAGCGAAGAAACGTTTTCTCTGTTGTTTACAAACAACTGAAATTATTGATAAGCTTAGTAACTATTTCATTCTCTCGCGGACATTATAAGATATTCTCATACTCTACCTAAAATTGAGTCCACCTGGAGCTGCCGTGAGGTACAGACGTATCGCCTGGCCTCTGGTGGTTTGGGCTGTTTGCCGTTTTCGTCGCCAGGAGGTGTGGGCGACATCTCTGCCCCTCCCCTGCTGTTGCTGACTGGCTGGGTGTTGACGTGGCGAGCTTGCTATGGGAGGACATCTTCCTCCTATTGTACGGGTAAACTCCGTGGGTCTGGAGTTTACTGGTCGTGCTGGGTATGCGGACATTGAAATGGTTATGTGCGACATGCTCCGTGTTCCTGTGATGGCCGTCTACGGTGTTGAGCTGGTAACTTCCCACCGGGTTGTTATCAAGTTTGTGATGGAGGAGTAGTACCGTGACTTCCTCCGTCGTTACGATCGGGGCGTTCGTTGCCATTGCCGGCTCTGTGTCCATCTCGGACCGTAGTGGTGCTCTGACTTAAGTCAGAGTGCATGGGGCGCCCCTGGAGTTTCCCGAGGACCTCCTCCGACGTTACTTTCAGAGGTATGGAGTAGTCGTCAGTGTGCGGGTGAACACGCTCTCCTCAGGGCGGTATGCAGGTAGGCGGACGAACATTCGCACCTTGGGGATGCGCCTGCGGTCGGATATTCCATCTTCGGTCCGGCTTATGGGGTACTACGTCCGTGTGTACTATGCCCGGCAACCCCGTACCTGTTTCCGGTGTGGCTTGATGGGGCATCAGGCTGACGGGTGCGTTGCGGCTCCGGTTGCCCCCATCAACTTGTTCCGAGAAGAGGATTTCCCGCCGCTCCCTCTGGAGGACGACTCTGGGGGTTGAGGAGGTGAACGTCCAGCTAGCTGATGAGGCTCCCCCAGCGTCGCCCGACGTTTCCCCGGTTGTCGCAGACCCTCCTCCGGATGTTGTGGTGCCGTCGGTTGCTACTCCTGCTCCTGTCATTGGCCCTGCTGCTCCAGTGGGCCTTCCTGGTGCTCCCTGTGTTTACTAGTTGTGTTTTTACGGGGGTTGAGCTTTGCTCTTTGGGCCCGCCTCTCAACTGTCAATCAACTGTTTACTAACTACTTTCTTTTTTTTTCCCACACCACACACACACACACCCCAGGAAGCAGCCCGTGACAGCTGACTAACTCCCAGGTACCTATTTACTGCTAGGTAACAGGGGCACTTAGGGTGAAAGAAACTTTGCCCATTTGTTTCTGCCTCGTGCGGGAATCGAACCCGCGCCACAGAATTACGAATCCTGCGCGCTATCCACAAGGCTACGAGGCCCCATATATGTGATATATGTGAGGCATCGCCGTCTGCTCCCTCGTCTTCGGCTGCTGAGTCTGGCCCTGCATCCTCACCTCAGATCCCTACTGTGCTGGGTGCTAGGGTGGCTGCGGAGCATCCTGCTGTGGGTGGTCCGGTTTCCCCAGTGGTAGAGGCTGCTGCCGTTCTGCAGTCGGCCGTCGGTTCGTCCGGCTAGTGGTGCCCGTGTTTCTGGGTCCGCTTCCGGCTCTGACGATATCTGGCCGGAGTCCAAACGTTCCAGGCGTTCGTCTACTGCCTGGGCCGATGTTGGGGACTTCAGTGACTGTGGGTCTTCGGGTGTTGACAGTGTGGATCCGGATGCGTCGTTGTCTCCGCGGTTGGTGGTGGCGGAGGTACATGTGCCTGCTGGTGCCCGTGTCTCGGGTGTGCCTTCTGTTCCTTCCCCGCCAGGGGGCTCTCCGCAGTGGGGTGTGGTGGCTTCCGCTGCCAGGGATAGTGCGGATGCTGGTGTTGGGCGTGGCCTGGTAGTGACTACGAAAGGATGCGCGCCGCCCTGGTTCCCTGCAGTCGTCTGGTGGTGTGCCCGTGACCGCTGATGCCCTCTGTCCGGCTCTCTCCTGCGGGGTTGCGCCTTGGGGACCTGGAGGCTGTGGTTGCCGAGTCCCTGCTGTCTGAAAGGCCGGAGGACTTTCATGGTGGGCGGGTTCCCGGTGTATGGAGTATGGTGGCGGTTACTCACCTCCGGAGTGACACCGTCTGGGTTCCCTGTTTAAGGGTGTTTGTTGCCGGGGTTCCGGATGACATGGCTTCCCCGGTGGAGGGTCAAGCCTCTTTGGGGAGGTGGTTGCATTGGGAGGCGTTCAGTGTGCTGTTCCCCCGGATCTTGTTCCCGGGCAAATATGTAAGCTGATTTCATGTTACTGTAGTGTTGTGTGCCCCTATGGCCTTTTGTATTGTGTACCCGTGCCTCTCCCTTCTTTGTTGCGAGGCCGGTGTTTTGGTGAGGGTGTTTTTATTCCTGTATTTGCTTTTGTGTTGTTACTTTGCCATGTGTGTTTTACTTATGCATTGCTAGACTGTGTTGTTTTTTGTTTTTATTTTTATTTTTTTATTATTATTTTTTTGTTTTTATTTTTGGCTTGTGTGCTGTGCGATTTTCTTGTTCTATTTCATGATGTCCTTTATGTTGTGTTTTGTTCTCGGTCCTTCAGGCCGGTGCTTGTTTGTTGTTGTGTATGTTACTATGTTTTGTTTTCTTGATTGCATGGATTGCTTGTTTATTAGTATTGTATATTTTGGTCTCTCCCTTTGTTTGTTGCGAGGCTGTTGGTTTTGTGTGTGTTTTTATTCATGTCTTGTTTCTGTGATGTATCTTGCGCTGGTGTTTTATTATTGCATTACATGTTGTACTTGTTTGTTATTTTTGTTTTGTTGTTTATTGTGATTTTCTTGTTAGTTTAGTTCATTTATTATGCACCCCATACCCATCCTGTGGGCGGTAGTGGAAAGGGTTACAGAGGCACATAATGGGCTCAGGGACTGAACCCCACAATTCATTTAGCTAAGCAAGTTACAATCTTGATGAGCTAGTTACAAAATTCAATATAAGTCGTCACATCAACAATGGGTTCGAGATCGACCTCAAGTACAGGTTCTAAATTAAGCAACTGACATATGTGGAGAGCTAGTGTCACAATTTATGTTTGTCCTGCACACCGCCCCCCCCCCCCCCATCCAGTGGGCAGCGGTGGATAGGTTACAATCACTCAGTTACTACCTACAGTTAGCAAACTGGGGATATTTGGCTAAAATTTCTGGTAGCAGATCATTTTGAATGAAATATTTACACATTGCTGGAACATTGGTTATAGAATTCTCTCTAAATTCACGTATCTTTTCGCACTCCATCACATAGTGACGGAGGGTGTGCGAATAATTTTGTTGATACAGTTTACATTTGGTCAGGTCTACATCAGCAGATAATGAGAATTCCCAGAGATACTTGTAACCGAGTCTAAGCCGAGCAGTAGTAACATCTAGAAGTCTGCTGATTTTATTGGATGATCCATAGATGTGTGGCTCCTCTTGCATGATAGTATCTTATCTTGAGGTTATCTTGATGATTTCGGGGCTTTTTAGTGTCCCCGCGGCCCGGTCCTCGACCAGGCCTCCACCCCCAGGAAGCAGCCCGTGACAGCTGACTAACACACAGGTACCTATTTTACTGCTAGGTAACAGGGGCATTGGGTGAAAGAAACTCTGCCCAATGTTTCTCGCCGGCGCCTGGGATCGAACCCAGGACCACAGGATCACAAGTCCAGCGTGCTGTCCGCTCGGCTCCCTATGATATGATGTAGTATGTATCTACATTTTATTTTATTTTATTTATATATATACAAGAAGGTACATTGGGTTTGAGAGAATACATTGGATAGTACAGTATTTACATTCTTGTAAAGCCACTAGTACGCGCAGCGTTTCGGGCAGGT